GGTTAAAAAATTTTTTAAATAATAAGCCAGCAGGTGGATTTTTATTATTTTTCAGGCGAAATGAGCAGAAAAAACATTTTATTCAAAATAATAATCTTATTTCATAATATTGTATATTATATTAATTAAAAATACATTTAAATAAATAGAGCCAAATCAGCCATTAAAACAATTTCCAAACATAAGGCGGGCAGGTTAAAAAAAAATTATAGATATAAGGGCGGCAGGTGGTTAAATTTTTTAAAAAAATTATAATTGGACAAGCTGGCCGGTTAAGTTAAAATCAAACCTACGAGAGAGCGGACTTTTTGGCTAAAACCAGCCCATTGCAGACCTCTAATTGAGACTAGAATGACATAACATGAAATATAACAAAGTCTAAGCACATCTTTTATTGTGCTTTTCAACAAGATTATGCCTAAGGGCAGAATATTTTATGCATAACAATATCATTGAAATAACTAATGAAATAAGTTGAGACTAAAAAAAAATCTGTTTATGTTTAATAAATCTCTCAGGTTATTAAGAACATATTACTTTTAAAATTAGAGTAATTAATTTAAATAATGCTTTTCTTATCATTGTTATTGGTTATTTTATTTGTCCTTTATACATGAATTGTTTATTTGTTTCTTTTTAATTATGGATGGATTTTTTTTGATATTTAAATAACAAACTATATTGAAACTTTGTTCTATGTAGGCGTATATGATTTCTCCCGCTGTTTCGTCTCCTTCTTTAGATGAATATTCGTTTTGGTATATTTGATACTTTTTAAGCATTTCGTCTACATCGATGTAAGAATTATTGCTCTTGTTCTGCTTATAGAGTTCTTTCTCTCTTATGACCGATCTAATGTCACTTTTATATTTTGCGTATTCGTTAGCTAGCTTAACGTCTATGCTCATGTTTATGCTTCCCGGAATACTCTTTATCAAGCTAAATTTATTCTCATTGATTTTCCTAGTCGCAAAAGATTCTTCGGATTTTTTGTTTAACTTTTTTCTTAATGGGGATCCCATTGGAAGTTGGTAAGGGAATAAAGGATCGTTATTATATGGTAAACATTCAAACATGTTAATATAATACATATCGTAAATCATTTCGAAATATAAAAATTTAATTAACATCTAAGAAAAAAAATAATAATGTTAAGTTAATGATATTCGAGTTTTAATATAAATTTTGTTAATCAAATATGACTTTTATACCGATTATATTTTTATTTGATTATAACTAGCATAATAATTTATTAATGAGAGAATTAATTCGTCAAATTCTATTGTTGGCATGCAATAATTCTAATACATTTTAAATAAATCATATTTGACAATTAATTATAATATTGGGGAAAATAATGTATTTAACTCTTAAAGTTTAATAAAAAAAGGATCAAAAGTTAGCGTTTGTTTAGGTAAATTTTCAAAATATAATTACTTTATAATGAATCATCCTTTTTTTTCTTTAGGCATCATCGTTTATACAAAGTAAGTTGTTCAAAATGGGTAATGTACTAGCGACCGTTATCTAGACTCATCCCGAGACATTCATATCAGTCTTTAATGTTGAGTTGATGGACCCTTCAATTGACAGATTCTATCCATCGCTGTTTAGGTATTCTCATCGGTATTTTCCTTAGCTCTTTCTGATCAAAAATATTTTTGGAATTGAGATTATCTTTAATTATAACTAGTGGTATTCCCTAATTATCTTAATTTGGCCCCATTTGTCAACTTAAGAAATAATTAAATAAGATGTCTGATTACATTGAGAGGTATCCCATGATGCATTACTAGCTGAATGCAAACAATGGTATGAAAGATTAAATACGGTTGATAATGCAAATATATTTTAGACTATTTTATAATATATTAAAATCATATATTTTGGCAACTTTCTTAGTATTATACTTCTAGCAATGAAAGAACATTTTCTTCTTAGAAGAATAAAAACATATCTGAGAAGTATTTTGAAAATAGATTGAATAGCTTACCAGAGATTGATTGATTGATTATAAGTTGGCAACGCTTGAGAACTCTTATTTCTTGGGAACTTCGAAGATATTCATTTTTAACTAAAAAATATAATATGCATCCTAGTGCCCGATTTGTATCGATTTTTAAAAAGCCTGATTAAGATTTTATCCAAAGCAATATACTTTCTAAATTATCGGAAAACAAATTCGACCTTATTTCCGATTATATTCTATATTTCATTGGCTATGCTTTCTTAAATATATTTATTCTCATTTTAAAACTTTTTCTAAGAACTTTGTAAGTTTATATACATGCAAAAATTCTTAAGAAATTATTTTCCTACAACATTTATATAAAAAATTATATATTTTTACAAAGTTATATTTTGAGACATATATTTCATTGTGATACATCGATTATAACATTTAATTTTTTATTACTAATTTTATATTTGAATTCGTGTATTAAAAATTGTCAATAATTTATAGTCACTAATCCTAATAAATTTCTTAAACTCAAGATATTCTTAAATAATTCTAAAAAAAATTTAATTAACCCCCCCCCCCTAGCGAATTCCTGCGTTTGTGCCCGGTAAATATAATAATATTTATAATAAAAAATAATTATCAAAATAAAATAGGACTAAAAATAATATTGAATTTTGATTGATGTTGGATCTTCTATCAGTAATGTCACTGGGGTGAGCATTGCTCGAGTCCCCCCCCCCCTGAAAAATTTGTAGAACTCCCATTAAAAAGGTCATTTTGGATATATTTCCTAATAAAAAGGTCGATAATTTTTTACCCCGTGGAATTGTAAAAGATAGTGACACCACTGCTTCTTATAATACCTAATTTTTTTTTATTTGATCAGAAATAATAATAGGAAATACTGAAGAAAATAAAAATGATAATTATGATTTATCGGAATATTGTTTTTCATAATTTTTCTAAACAAGAAATATAAAAAATGAAAAGTTTTTATAAAGAAAATAAGATTATATTTATAATTATTTTTTAATCTACAAAAATAGCAAATAATATAGTTTATAATTTGATTATAAAAATAATCGAAATGGTGATTAAACCTCTATCTATATATGAAATATTTTAAACTAAAACCTAAAATTAGTAGTTTTTCATTTTCTAAAAATGACGATATCGCAAAAAATCAATCCTGATTTGAATATTTTCATATATTACAATAAATTATATTAAATACTTTATAAATAATTGCGATAAAAAATAAAGCTTGATATTTTTACAAAATAGAGTGGACTGTATTATAAATTTTATTATAATAAGCCCAAGTCCAATTTTCTATAAATTAATTGAAACAGGGATATGCATACGGGAGAATATATATCTAGTGGATTTGTTAAAGTAATTGTAGAAATAGGAAAACAAAAAGTAACATTATAATAAAAAATACATGAATAAATCTTGGACACTTGTGAAAATTAAATATCCAATTATCGAATATATTGGGTCTGCATCTCATGGACTTAATTTGCTTCTAAAGGATATAATAAATAAAATATTGCCAATTTAATTTTTAGTAGCAAATGCCCAAATTATTATAAAATTTTATAAAATAAACATTCTTTTACACATTTAAGGAGAAACAACTACTTAAAATAAAAATAGGATCCTTAAAGTTACCTAGCCCACCTAACTCTTTTGACAGCATTTTGCGGCAATACTCCATATTTTTATAGAGTAAGAGAGTTAATCTTTTTGACAATGAAGTTTTTTAAATGATCTTGCACATTTATGCAATTTTATAAAGTCATTTGTACACAAATTGAGGATATCGAAGAGGACAAATTAAAATTTATTAAATGTTCCAAGCATTTATTTATATTAAGGAAATTTCTTGAAAGTTTATTTAAAGAAATCGGAAAATCTTATGTTGCCGCATATGATATGATAAACCTAAGATATTGTGGATTTAATTTTTTAAGATAATAAAGTTGTTAAAGGAAATGTGATTTTCTTGATACCTAGATTTTGATTGCCAGACATATTACAAATTGCTCGATTTTAGAGACTAGAATCGTTTCAAACGAAGATAACACATTAAATAATTTAAATTATATCATACTTGTTTAAATAACATATTAATAGTTTATACATTTTTGATAAGTGATGGGAAAAAATAAATTGACCTGTAAAATAATTTTTTAAAGGAAATTTCCCGTATTTTCTTTTCCCTCTATTTTCCTGTTATATGAATTATAGTTTTCCGGGTTTACATCACTAATAATAAGCCTCCCGAATTTTATGTGTGCATGTGATAGGTCTAATGATCTATACAATGTAAATGTGAAATTTATGATTTTAAATGTGCAGGGAAGAAAATAAATTTGGCTGCCTTTTAAACCTCCTTCACCCTCCCAATTTACCTTAACCCTTACATAAGTCCCGGTCAAAGTTAGATTAGTATTGAAATCCAAATAAAAATTAGCAAAAAAATTTAACTGCTCCCCCGTTTATATGGGCCTATATGTTCGATGAGGATGATTATATATGTGCAAAAATATGAATAGGTGCGATTATTAAAATATTCTTGTGATCTATCATGTCTTACTCTAGTTCATTAAATTATAGTTTAGGGCATATTTTTGTCAAAAAATATAATAAATCATAAAAACCATTTAATAAGAATAGGCATTTAAAGGGAAGCTGGCCGAAGTCTGAGCAAAAACTGGTGGAAGGCCCGCATAATTGGAGGTATTGGGGTAACCCTACTCCCATAAAAATGACGCCTCTAAAAAAATTTGTCTACAAGGCCAAAGCATTACCATTTCACTCCTTTAGTGGTCATCATACAGTGTATAAATTGTTTTAAAACTATTTACTACATCGATAGTGTTTCCATAATAAGGTGGTCAGCAACTCTTTTAAGGTTTTATTGTATAAAATAATTAAATTTTAAAAATAATTGATTGCATTATGGAAACCTTTGAAAGAAAATATTCTTTTCTTATAAATATTAATAAATGAATTACAAACTTTTATAATTATTTTAATGATAAAGTTTTGAGCATTTTAAAAATCATTATAATATAGTTAATTCTTCTTTGATATAACAACAATTGAAATGAATTTATTCATTATTTTTTAAGCTCCAGGTTTGGTCACAGCTTTTTTCATGTTTTCTTCGTACACCTTTACATTTCTCATCATAATTTCTTTGCAGGATCCTAACAATCTTTCAAAATCGTCTGTGGCCAAAAATGCCGTTGTTACACTGGTTTGAGCCACCGCTGATGCTGACCTGGGCTTACTATTTAAAAGGGCCATTTCACCAAAATAATCGTTTTTCTTTAAGGTGGCTAATACGTAATCTTTTTTGGTAGTTCCATCTTTGAATATAATTTTGACGACTCCTTCTTTGATAAAATACATGCCATCGGGGTTATCTCCTTGGGATAATATTAAATCACCCACTTTGTAACGCTTGATATCTTTATGGGGGGATATAAATAAAAAATAACACCACGATAAAATCGTCTAAGCAACTTAGACTAGTTTAAAAGATAAATTCGGATGAAATAAATTTATTTATATGAATGTAAAACACTTCGAAAGAGTTAATTAGCATTCCCTCTAAAGAAATTTATTTAAAGATTTCATGAGAACTTTAAAGAATTTATAACATTAAATTCTGTCAATTTAAGCATGTATGTAATATATCCGGAACAAATTTTGTGCCATTATTTTAAGAGCCTATTATTTTTAACATATTGAGTAGCTGTATAATTTAAGACTATATCTTTTTCTTCAGTCATCAAATTATACAGTCACGAACTTTAAATAACAATCAAAACAATATTTTAACCGAAAGCATCGAGAATTTTAAACTGCTCATAGTCCTTAAGAGTTTTAAATAGGGAGCACCCATTGAGGAGTTCTTTGTGATATTCCCTCTTTTCGTAAGCCCTTCGAATGACAATCCTTCTGAAAGTTTGTCTGTCTACTGCCCAAAGCGAGCCGTTACTCGTAGCTACAACCTATGTAGTATATAAAGTTATATATGTTAATGTATTATCATAATATAATCGTTGCGAAACCAATCTTAAAATGATACGCAACTCAATATTTTACATTATATCAAATGACAGAATAATTTGATAAAATAAACTGAAAATTTACTAAAGGGATATCGATTCGTATTTTTTATCTAATTTTGGTAGATCCTTCTCAAACCAATTCTACTCTACTTCATGCTCGGCCATCTTAATTTTTACTTTTAACTATCTTCTAGTTAAAAATAAATCAATGGAACAAATTGTGTTTTCGATTTTTGCAGTTTTATTAAATATAAGTTTATTAATTATGATATGCAAATTATTAAATATGATATTTATGAAAAAAAAATATATATAATAAAAATGTTGATAGAAATCTAGATGAGTTTCCATTAAAGTTTTTTTTAGGTCAGTCAACACCTGGTAGCTTTTTACTGGTCATATACCCTCTATTTGACCCCTGAATTAGGTCCATTCTTCCAGGTCATACCCGATGCGAGAAAAAATTTTGTCCAAGCGATTTGTCTGATTTGATCCGAATTTTTAGCGTAGAAATAGGTTCGAGTCCGATTCGATTTTTTTTTAATGGATAGTTACTAAAGCGCGATATATAAACGAAATCGAAAAAAATTAAAGTGAATAAAGATTACAAATAATTTTGGGTTATTCTTTAGAAATATTTCATAAATTTTTTTTTTATCCGGTCCATTAGAGCCCCCGATACTTATAATATTTTTTTTTTATTTAGTAATCATATATATTTTTATATACTGTTTTAATATTTTAGTGTTTTATCATTTTTATAAATATTCAGAAATTTATTAGTTAAATAAATATTAAAATAAAGATCCAAATCACCGAGTTCGAGAAAAATGTATGTTGGAGTACTATTGATCTAAGTTAAGCCGAATTGGACTAACTAGTTGTAGTATCATCTTATCTAAGAATGGAATGGAACTAGACACATTTTGAAAAGAAATTATGGGAAAATTATGACACGCTATGGGAGTCGGAAGTGTAATTGTGAGAAAGTTCCGGAACAGTTTTGGAACGTTCCAAAAAATTAGTATGAAAAATTTTAATTAATTTATTACATAATTATAAATATAATATTTATAAGGGCTCATTAATTCATAAATATTTGTTTTCTTTTTCGAATTGAAATCTGCTTCACCTAACAATATTATTACAAGTATTATATAATTTTAACGATTTTTTTTAAAATCAAATTTAAAATAATTTTTATTGTTATAAAATTAAAGTAACAAATCGGGGAAAAAAAAAATATATAATAAATATAAATGTCAAATGTTTTTATTACCAAGTTAGTGCTGGGTCGTGTTTTTGGATAGTAAATCAATTCAAGGACTGGGCATATTAGGAACATTTTTTAATTGGAGGAAATATACCTAAAGAACTAGTATATAGGATTGAAGAATAGAGAGATATGAGTTTGGGTTAATTAACGGTGAGAGATATGAGTTGGGAAGATGTATTAAAAATGGCTTTTAATAATATTTAATCATTTATATAAATAATTTGCCAATCTGACAAGTCATGTGATTAAATATAATGTCCTTGCTCCTTGAGTTGGATCACGTGTTTTTGACATTCAAATTTTATTAATACCAACTCCCAGATATAAATAATAATCTTTCAGGGAATGTCTGATTATTTAGATCTAACAGCCAATATATATATTTAAAATTTGTATATTTATAAAATAGAAATAAAATTAAATATTTTTTTAGGAAGGCATTCTGGAATTTTCCGAAAAGTGGAAAAGAAGATAATTTTTGACTGGAACGAAAACAGAACAGGAAGACAAAAATGCCTTTGTTCAGAATAAAGTTGACGGCTCGATTTTTCTAATAATAAATTAAGATTTTAGCCAAATTATGCAACCCTCAAGATTTAATTAATATATGTCAACTTTTTTGCCATATATGAGCAAAATCTGCAGGCTTGCATTATATTTTTGGCTGAAACATTGGGCTAGTCATTTTTTAAACCGAGCCGTTTAACAATACTAGTACAGAACCCTGTCATTAATACACAATTAAAACCAATTATAAATACTTTAAAAAAATTTAACCTTCACAAAAAAGACATATATTCGATGACCCAAATAGAATATGCCGTCACGATACAATATTACCCACCTAAAAATTATACTCTACTGAAATATTTTTTTTACCTACCTCCTAAATCTTTTTAACAAAAATAGGAGATCTAAACATCAAAATTAGCTTAGAAAAACATACCTCTTATATTCCCCCTCCTATTTCCTCCTTTTCCTTCCACTCTTATTATAGTTCAATAATAATATTGCATTATAAACCCCCCCCTCTCGTGATAGAAGGGCTTTATCATGATTAGATAGTGAGTCTACTATAAACCTATTAGCTGTTCCGAGATTTACATTAGCGTGGGCATCACTAGAAATTAGAAATCTGAATTGAATAAAAAAATTTTGTCATAGTCCGAACCAAAATTATTTTAAAAATTAGGCTCATCTAAGACTAAAGTAAATTCGGACTCCAGAGGGGGGATTGGGCATGGCCTTGCAGATCATTACTAGGAATGTCATCTAAAAGGGCTTCATCTAGAAGTATCATTAAAATAATCGGTAGAAAATATAAGGATTTAGTTTGTGGATTTCACAAACAGAGAAGTTAAAATTTTATGAGTTTGTTACCTTGAAAATTTTTGCTTCACAAGTTTGCTTTAAATCTTGCTGTATATATATCTAGCCTTACCTTAGTTTAAATGGGTCTATAAATTTTTCCAGATAAGCTATAAATTTCGAACTAAGTATATTCGATAACGTTAACATTGGGAAATATATCCCACAAATTTTATAAATTCGAAAGAATGCTTTTCTTCTCAAAACAAATTATACCAAATAAAAAATTTGGTAGAAAAGGGCTAAAACATTGTTTTTTGATCAATATCTTTTGAATGCAGAATTCCTGCTACTAAATAATATATGTCTAGAATGTATGCATAGAAATATATCTTTTGACCAAATTTAAAACAATTCGCCCTAAAGATTAAAGTTATAGACGTTTGCCTTTTTGCTCATAAACATCCATCTTACTGTTATAGAGTTTTGGAAAAAGAAAAATTGAAACTTCCTAAATTTTAAGTTCTGGCCAGGAAATATTTATGTTTACAAGCTTTCGAACCTATTTTTTCGGTCTTTGGGTTGCCCTTCAAATTTAAACAAAATAATTTTTATAAATTATTGGATTATATTTTCGTTACATTAATTTAACCTGTTTACCACCAAAGTAATCTTATTAATTCCAATTGTCTTTGAATGGGTTATATTTTATAGAGGTTGAAAATTATTGTAAATTTATAAGCAAATTGTTTTTAAGCTATATTGTTATCTGGAAAAATTTGGTTGTAAAAGTTCCAACTGTGAGTGTCGCCTTATTGGGACACATCCGATATGTGTTAAAATGGGATTGCACCAAGTACAGTAGTTTCACATTCGCTTGTGCTTACCACTCTACCACTCTCCTACTTAAGAAAACTTGATAGTTCATATATGGGAGGAAATTAAAATGTAAATGTAAATGTAATTAATATTTGATTAAATATTGTTTATCAACACGTAGTATATAAACTTATATAACATTAACATGGTAATTATAATTATAATTTTTTAAATTTCTAATATATTTATCATAATAAATTTTAATCCAAAAGTTGTTTCAAATAAATTATCGATTTTAGTGTTTATGCAAAAAATTAAATAAAAAATAATTTTTCATCGTATGAAAATTCAGTCCCACCGCCTATGGCTGCTAGTTTCAAACAAAACCCCGCTACCGCCAATTATTTTATCTGCACACAGGTCAAATTATATTTAAGAATATAGCTGAAATAAAAAGGCAAACAATAGTATAATTTACAAAAACAAGAAAAAGTTAAAGGTAGTCTAGCTTTATCGGGCAGCATGGTAGCCGACCATTTTTAAAGCATTACACATATTCTTTCTTTAAATGTCATACGATTATTTGCAAATCATCAAAATTTATTAAATTCTACATTTATATAGAAGTAAGAATATTATCTAAGGTTATATAAAATTTTTTTAATATTTATAATACATTTTTTAAATTTAAGTGCGGAAAAAAAAATATGGGTGGCCGATGACCTTGGAATATTTAACCTTTAACATTAATTATATTCCAAAATACAAAATTAAAAAATAGGAAATCGAAAGTTTGTAACCGTAGCTGTTCTTGGTAAATTGCAAAGCAACGCGATTTCACCAAAGGAACCTGTTCCAATATAACTTGATACTTTTTTGGATGGAGTAACGTTCTCTTTGGCAGCTACGTACACATCGTAATTACCACTCTCTATTATGTAAAAGTTTTCTCCAGGCTGACCTTGTTCTATAATCTGTAATATAGAGATTTATTATGGAATGAAAGCATATTATTGACCAAAATTTATTTTTAAAATTTAAATACTTTATCACCCTTTTTTACAGGGAGGGTATATATGGCGTCTATCACTTCTTCTATTTCGTCGGATTCTAGAGTTTTTAATAACCAAGTTTCTGTTATAGCACTTTTGATTTTCTCTCTTTGTTCGGCAGTTTTGGGGTAGACAACCTAATATATAAATTTTATATTTATAAAATAGTTTTAAAATATCCTCCTTTTTTGTTTCTATTTAAATTTATTTTATAAAAAATAAGTTTTAAAAATATACTCTGTTTTGAGGATCAGGATCCTCTTCAGGATCATATGGCTCGGTGAACACCGATTTTCTTCTTTCTCTACTTATATGGCTTATTTCTTCCCTTGATTGACTAGCCATTTCATAATCCTACAAATGTTACGAAAAGCGATCTATTACTTTCAAAATAAAATTTATTAGATATATCTGATTTTTAGTATAATTTATTTAAATCCAAATTTCAGGTACATTCAATTCAAAGCTATATATAGATTGCAATTTAGAGTTTGGATATTGGATCAATTTTTACATATATACTTTATAGTAAGGGTAGAAGGAAAACTAGAGTATTAAAATTTAGAATCTGAGAAAAAAAAGGATTTTGGTTCCAAATATTTTCAAAAATTGTGATTTAGTTTCGGTAAAAAAAAATGATTCCTAGATTTGACGTGTTTTTGAGGGTTTTCTAAGGGTTTAGCTTCCAAACACTTTTCAAAGAATAAACTCTTCAAATTATATTTTATAACAATATATAGCTTTCTTTAGTCTCGTGAGTGTCCTACTTAGGTATTAATTAAGTTCAAAGAAGTTGCTCTGATATTACAGGGGACACTTTTACCATGTGATTAAAAAAGAGCACTATGACTGAAATATATTTTTGTTATCAAAAATTTTAGAATAAGTTCTGGTTCCGGTTCCCATAAATTTTAAAAGGTGGCGGTTCCAAGTTCTGCTTCTGGTTTTAAACCCTTGTTATACTATTGATGATAGTTATTAATCGAAAAAAAGGGAGACTGGTAGATAGTAAAGGCTGGACTTAATGATGAGATTTGACGATGGTATATAACAAAACCAGTGATATTAGACAGGAGTGGATGAGGAAATATAATTCGCGCGATAGAGGAAACTTCTGACCATTCTTATTTAAATGTCAGCAAAATTTGATAAAAGGAGAAAAAACATATTCAACTTTATAGATTAAATAGTTAATTTTTTTAAATGATTGAATTTGAAAAATATTGGCCTTTATGATTCAGAGAGTCAAGTATTTATTTTAAACGTTTAAGATTTATTTTCTAAGAATTTCAGCATCAATTCTGACCGATTAAGTATGAGTCTTAGGTCTAATTTTGTAAACATTTTATGTTCAAGTGTTGTGTTATTTAACTCTATAGAAATCTCAGCTGATTCTTCATAACAATGACACATTGAGCCTTAATGTTTTTTTGAAATATGGTAAACCATGGAGCGTATCATTTAAAAATTATACCTATTTATTCACTTGATATTGTAGGTAACACCATGATTTAACAATGTGTTTACTATAAATTAGTTCTTAAATAAAATATCTTTCTAAATCTAAAGTTAATATTTAAGAGAATAGTGACTTAATTTCATTTAAGATATAATACAGTGATAGCCATATTTTAATATTAATTGTCCATTTTAAAAGCTTATTATGTATAATTTAATTTCTCTACGGAACAGTAAATACTATCAAAAGAAACTGTTAAAATTCCGGTCCGAGCCAAAAACAAAATCAAATCCAGGCCTGGTTGTTTGATAGGCTACTGGTCTCTGGTGTATATAATATATAAAAATATATAATTATTTCACTTAATATACCTGAACCTTTTGGCTGAATAATTAATTAATAATAAGAAATACTTTGAGAAAGGTTTAAGAATTTTAAAATTTTAGAATTTTATTGATATTTTATGTAGAACTGAATTCTACGATTTAAAAAAAAAAAAAATTTAAGATAACATAGTTTTATGTAAATTTATAATTTAATAAAAATCGATAATTTGTAGGTCCAGTTAAAATAATAGTAAAAAGTATACATTACGATTTTACATCTTAAATTATATTTTAATTTAATATTTATGGTACTTTCACATTAATGAATCATTTATAGTGAGCGCGATATGTCGCTTAAGCAATATTTAATTCAAGCTAAACGATAGCATAATTGTATAATTTAACATTTTGTTTTTTTTTTGATAAATTACCAATCACTTTGAGCGACAAAATTGTTTTGTTATCATTAAGTTTTTTTATTAGGGTTTCAGCAAGTTTTTATCAAAAAGCCCAACTGGAAAATCATTTTACTGGCTTCTTACATAATTAATAGTTTTCTTTCATATTAAATAGTTTTCTTTCATATTAAAAAGTTTTTCAAAGTTCAATTTATAATTTTTTCTTTAGGCTGTGTCCTAAATATCAAAAATTGCATAAAAATTATCTCGCGCAATTTGCGCGAGTTTAACAAAAAAAATAATATAATACATTTTTAATGGGAAATTAAAATGTTGGCCTAAATGATTTTTTCGATTTTGCGCAAATTACGTGATTCTTAAAAGTTTCACGATTCGTAAAATTTTAATCATTTTTTCCTTAAACTTTTGCGAATTGAAGGAATAAAATGGCGAACGAATTTCAATTAATGGAAAATATAAGACTTTATAGACATTTGTGAGAAATACAGCTGCAAGTAAAATCATATGGGAAGAGATTATATAAATATTATTTTATATTTTAGGTTCAGGTGCTGCTATGATGAACCAGCAAGCATCTTAAATTTGTTGAAGATTTTTACTGGCTAAAAGAAAATGTGGAGGATATATGTAAGCACACTGAAGCAAGTTTCAGTGTAAAACAATCTAAGGATGCACAAATATCTCCACATGTATTATAACATGAAATTAGAACTATATAATAATCTATATTTTAGGATTATGAGCCAGACATCCAAGATATGTTAAATGTACAATCATCACAAGTATATAACATTAAATTAGAACTATATAATAATCTATATCTTAGGATTTAGAGCCAAACATCCAAGATATGTTAAATGTACAAATATCATCACAAGTATATAACATTAAATTAGAACTATATAATAATCTATATCTTAGGATTATGAGCCAAACATCCAAGATATGTTAAATATACAAATATCATCACAAGTATTATAACATTAAATTAGAACTATATAATAATCTATATCTTAGGGTTTAGAGCCAAACACACAAGATATGTTAAATGATATAGTCAATCAGAAACAAATGTTTGAATTTAAAATGAAATTTTCCCTTTATATTTATAATTTTCTATATTATTTTCATATTTATTAATTTTTATATTATCTTCATATTTATGATTTTGTATATTTTTATAATAAAAATTATTATGTTTAATGAATTTTTATAAAATGTGATTTGAGTCATTTTAGCAGTTTAAATACGAACCAAAACAACACTTTTTTTTGCACTTTTTATTGAATATTTATAAATAAATGCTATAACTTTGACAAATTTAAACTTTCATAAGAAATATAAGATAATGGAAATTAAAAAATAAATGTATAAAAATTTTGGAATAAGGGTTTCTAATTAATTTGTGTCCTCAATATCAATAATAATATTTTGTAATAAGCAGTCAGCCTTAACAATTTATATAGTATTAATTAGTGATCTCCATCGGGCCTAATTTTTCAAGCCCGGCCTGGCCCGAAATTTTTTTATAAAAGTTTTGCCGGCCCGGCCCGAACCCGAAATTTTATTATAAAAAATTTATCGGCCTGGCCCGAATTTATTTAAATATAGAAATTAATTTTTATAATTACTCAAAATAAAAGACATATGTTATATGTCTTTTAGTTTCAATAAATGAAATCAAATATTTTTATTTTACATAAAAAATTCAATATAAAATTGATAAATTTAGATATATTTAAAAAAATTTCCAAAGTCCGACCCGACCCGAATTTTTTTAAAAAATATTAGAAGCCCATTCGAGCCGGACTCGGGCAGAGTACGGGCCGTGCCTAACTTTGCAGATCTCTAGTATTAATAATATTAGTTTCTAAGGATTTATATAAGTGTTTAAATTTGGAACTCATGAACATGATTATCTTCAAATAATATAGTAAAACACCAAACATTTTATATATTATAATTTGAAAATAAATGTATGATTCGGGACATGCTTCGTATCTCCCAAAACTTTTGAGAAATTTTTTTTTAGTTTAGGACACAGCCTTATATATGAATTAAATATACGAGTATAATTTAATGCATTCGTCTTGATGTTGCATTAATATATTGAGTATAGCAGAGATGTGATAAATCTATCACAACCCCTATGGTTGGGGGGGGGGGGGATAATTTTACATATACAGGAGTCTTAAATTAAGAAGAGGCCTATAAGAATTTTTTCTTTTTATGGGGAGCTCCAAAATTTTAGAGGTACGTTTCTGGGGTAAAGATTATATTGTTCAATTAAGCATTTAATTTATTTAAATTTTATTCTTATTAAAATTTTATTTTATATCCTCGAAAAAAGCATATGGTATTCCTATTGTATACTAGTGTTGTTATAATAATCAATTGCATTTTGGGGATAAATAATTAGTTACTTTTAGAAAAATTAAATGTAAAAAGTAACGGCAATGAACTTGTTACATTTTTGAAATGTAACGAGAAAGTCTTAAGTTACTTTTTAAAATATGCTAAATATTTATATAAATTATTAACTATTTTTATATGATAAATTCTCAAATTTAAAACTACGGTTTATTTATAATGTCTTATTTTTAACAAGCGCTTCGCTAGAAAGTTTGTCTAATCTAGATTATAAAGAAAAACTAGTATACCTTTTAGACATAACCACTCATTTTGAAAAATGGTAATGACAAATAAAAATTTATTAAGTTCAAATTTTTATGAAAAAAATATTATATTGTGCAATCACAATAGTACTATCTAAGATTGGCGATTCATTATTAAAAGTGTATATTAAAGTCAGCTCTAGTAGACATCATTGTAAGACATTTCCACTATATGCCTTTCATATTTCGTCTGCTTTTAATAGCGGACATCAATGCATGTACACTTTTTATGCATTTCAATATGAATTGAAATATTTTTTCAGTATAACTATTCCTTAATTAAGATTGTACTTCATTAGATTCCTATATTTATATTTGTAAATAGCAAAACTTAAAATAAATATATTATATTAAAAATGTTAGTTAAAAAGGTTATAAAATAACTTTCAATATAGCTTGTCACTTTTGAAGTGTAACTGTAATGTGTTATATAGTTAAAAATTCTGAAGAAGGGCAACGATATTAAATATTGAAGGAGCTCAAGTAGTTTGATCGAAATGATCAGCCAGCAGCTGATAAACACCCATTATTCCTAAATCTTAAATAAAATTTTATTTATACTTAACATTAATCAATGCTGTTAAAGTCACTTAAAAGTAGCGCACTACATTTTTAAATCGCGATAGGTAACGGCACGACGATACTTTTTAAAGTAGCAAGATAATAGAATAGCACCGCTAATTTTTTCGAGTAGATTTTGTTTAGTGTGCCACAAAAACTATCAAACTCACCACCATAATGAAGATTGGTTCCAATGCCATAATTGTCATTTATAGGCACATGGATCATGTTGGGATTTTAATCCATTTTTTATATGTAATAAATGTGTTGTATGTTAATATTATATGTTTGTTATGATTTTTGTATGAAAAAAATGAATAAAATGCTTAGAAAATGATCGTCTAAAACATGCCCCACAAAAGGATAATACGTCCCCTGTCTCTTTTTCATGACTCAAAAATTTTCATTTAATTTAAAAAAATATATAATATTTTTTTATTAGATATTAATTTCTACCGTAGATAATTATATAAAGAATAAAATAACATCAAAATTATTTTGATAAATTATTTCTCCTCCTTTTCACAGCCTCTCAATTTTTTATGGACAATATAACCCCGGTCTCCCCTACTAATTTTTATTATTTTATTTATAATTTGAATAAATAAAGTGGATAATCATAAAAAATTATATTGAGATCATCCATATCAGATCTCACTATTTAAAGATTTTTAAAACCACTCTTCACAAAATATAATACCTCTATCCCATGCAGCTCTCCTGTTGCGAAATTATATATCATAGCAAAGAATGTTTTAAGTGAAAAAATATGTTTCCTAATAATATTTTATTATGTGATATTTTATTATTATAATTCTAGTTCAAATTTGAAATTTTTTTTTATTTAGGAATATAAGAGAATATATAATGGGGGTGCTAGTCGAAATGACAGAATATTCACTGGATGCAAACCTCCCTTAAAAACCTATATCTTCCCTAAAAGCGGCGATATTTCCACATTATTAATTACAAGTTTTCAATTATTAAGGTAATCCATTCATATATTTTAAAATAAATAAATCCAGGGATTCAAAACGAACCTAAACCGAACCGTTTAACCAGTATAATATTATTTACCGAACCTAAACAAAGCCTGAACCGTTAAAAAATTTGTCATCCGAACCTGATTAGAACTTTTAATGCTTGTAAACCGGTTTTGATATTTTAACTCTTTAAAAGATTATTAATAATCAATTTTGACGTATAAATCAGTAATTACATTTAGATATTCTTGTATATTGCTATTTGCCGGTGTCAGCTACCTAAGTTAGCATGTAAAAATGAACTCAGTCATAAAATTTATTCTTCTTATATATATATATATATAATTCGACAGAAGAAAATCTTGAAAATATTTTGATTGTATATACGGCTTAATATTATGTTTTTAGAGAATAGCGATAAAATTTTAAAAAATCATTATATAATTTTAATATGCTTTTTAAAGGTTCAAACTGAAAAGATATTAATATTTTTTGCGAACTGAACCTGAGCTTTAAACCGATTTTTATTTAAACTTGAACCGAAATTCGTTATGGTGATACCTGCTTAATATCAAAAAATTGTGAATGTAAAAGAGTTATTTTTTATAATAAGAATTAAATTTAAAAAAACCTCCCCTTACTTACGATTAATGCATTATAGTATAGAATTTGTCATGAATATGAAATTGCTGATAGAATATCTAACCCTTTTAATTTACATTTAAGAAACTGAAAGTTATCCAAAAAATAATTACTATGAATGTATGCAATATATGGATTTGGTCGATGTTTAGTAATATATAAAAGTATTAAATAAATCTTTACAACAATATATTTTGTCAAATTTAAATTAATTGATATCCGTGCAATAAATTTATTCTACCTCCCCTTAGATGCCTCCCCCCCCCATTCAAAAAATTTGGAAGCAAGAAGCTCCTACCCCAACCCCCCTCCCTCCACTCATTTAGATCCTGGAAGCTAAAATATTTTATTTATTTGCCCTTATTTAAAGAAAAAAAAATGAGACATAATATTTAAAGTAGCTACTAAACTATACATTTAAAATGTAATAGCTATAGCATGCTATTATTTTGAGAAAGTGGCTAATTAGTAGCGAGGCCACTTTTTTGAGAAAGTAGTTGTAGCTATTGCGCTTTAATATTTTAAAGTAGCGTTAACAGCATTGATTAATGTATGCCTTCTTAATCTATTGAATGTCATGATTATTTTAGTCTAGATTTTAATAAATCAGATCATTTAATACGGGACCTACAGATCTCTGTTAAATATATAATTTTAGAAAAAAAAATATTTCTGGTGGCCCTGGATAACCAATAAACATTCTATTAAAAAAAATAGTAAAATAAAATTATAGACAATAAACTAAAGAAAAAAATATATATTAATTTATTTATGGTAATTACTTTTTTTAACATGAGATACTAAAAAAATTATACATAAAGTAGAATAATACAAATTTAAATACTAACACAGACGATAAAATGTTGTCAAAAAATATAAATTTATTTTAACTTATACAATATAGTATATTATATTTAAACATTGGAAATCCTGCTAAACAAAATATATTCGGTTAAATGGCCATTTTTAGAGTCGCTACGGATGTTTGTAGATGTAATAATTTCAAAATTATAGGCAGAACTCAATATTCTTTGCCATATTTCTATCCATTTAATTTTGCTCGATATTTCAGTGTTATTCAATACATCGGTTTCTTTCAATGCAGAATCTGGGTCATGAAAGATTTCTGGAAAGAGCTCTAACATTATAGAAGTTTTACAGCTAGCATAAACTTTGGGTTCATCGGAAACCTCATGATCTATGTGTAATATAAGGCATTCTATGAGATATGGGAGATTATTCGAGATATCTTTACAAGAATTAACATGAATTTTGGGCATTTGACAAGAATCACCATTTGGTTTAAAACCTACAGCCATTTTTTTTGCTAACAAATTATCGACTATTAATCCTTTCCTTTTAGCTCGGTAATCTTGATTATTATTGTAATTGCACTTTGGTGAAGAAACCCTACTTTCGCACGCGTCTTTCAAAAGTTGATCATTTTCGTCCGCCATATTTTTGTAAGGATAATTATGTTCGTTGGTGGGTATTTTTTTGTACATCTCTAAAGCTTTTATGAGGGGATTTATCTCAAAAAATTGAGCTTCTTCCATGAGCAAATCAATTTCTTTGAAATTGCTCGATAACAAAAGTCTCCCGTTTCGAAGAAAATTTAGGATATGGCGAAAAATTTTACCGTCTCGATTTAAGAAATAATGTTGTTTAAAGCTATCTAACACTATGGGAATCGTCCCGTTAAATAGTTTTGCTATAATGGATTCGGGATATCTAATATATAAGGGTAGGGGCGGGGGTAATTAAAATTTATTTTAATTTTCTATTTTAAAAATATTATCCTTAAAAGTTAAAAATAAAAAAATATCAAAATTCTTTTTAAAATTTTGGTTTGTTTTGTATTTATGGCTTGAAGATTTTGCTCATAGATGCCACAATGGTTTGGACATTTATTAACAAAATCTCGAGGCTTAGGCAATATTTTAAAATATTGAGTTCGCCATTTTTAAAAATCGGTTCAAATCGTGCCTTATAATAACACTAGTCAAGTATGGTAAAATTTACTGGAATATTTTAAGCATCGAACTCTTCTTATCTGCGTTAAGCTAGTAAATTTCTGAGTTATGTTATATTATCCCGACAAGTAAAGTTTAAATTTTATTTTTTTAACCCTAAAATCTTGCCAATAAATTATTTGTATATTAGTATTTCGATTTATAAACTTGGTTAAGGTTTGTAAAGTAGTCGTATATTGTATGCCCCCAACATCAATGTGAACAGGTGCCGTGAACTTAGATATTTTCGCTATAGCTGGAACTCCTAGAGATGAAGAGGCCGGTAAAATATTGTTACAATTGATAGGCGGATTAGCTTTGGGGCTCGATAACGGTGAACTTATCATATTTACATGAACGTTTTTGCCAAATGGCGAGGTGGGAGAAGGATTTGATTTAGTAGATATGGTACACGAATGAGTGTTAGCTTTGGTATCATTAGGTTTAGCATTTTTATCATATTCGCTTGTGTATTCTAGTTTAATACCATTTATACATTTGTATTTTTCCATCAGAATGTTATTTAAATAATGGGAAGAGGTACTTGGATTGTGGAATATCATCTTAGTATCTTTCGATTCCATACAACATTTAAATTTTCATTTATGAACTAATTAGTAAATGAAAAATTATATTTTTATAAAACACCATTTATAATATCGATTTCCCAAAAATAAAATTAAATATCCCCTTCATAAATTTAGACAAAATGAATTCAAATACATCACATAAATATTATATTATATATTTTTTAAAAAAAATCATTTTGGGTTGTCATCTGCTATCTGAAGCTATCTTATATTTTGTGTTTTAATGTGTTTTTTTTCTCGTTACTTTATAAATTTAGTAATGTCGTTACAAAAGTCATTTTGGTTATTTCGATGCGACGCTATCCTTCTAATCGTTATAATATCAGGAATGTTATTTTTTTTTTTCAAATTGTAAATAATAAATATTTTATTTTAGATATGTATAAAGTATAGTATATGTTTTTTTGTTAAATCAGACTCCGGGCTATGTTTTGGTTTTTGCGTATAAGCATAATATATATTTGTTTATTATTTTAAACTTCTCACCCTAGATTCAATTTTATATTTAATGATGTATTTTTAAACAATAACAAAAATCAGTAGAGAAATCATGTAACCTAATTTCATCATTCATAATTCTATTTCACGAGGATCAATAAAATAAATGGCCAAGGGCTTTATGACTCAACCAAGCTAATTAATCTCGAGTTTATCTCAATACATTCTATATTACTTTTTAATGGCAATGGACGACAGTTGCTCTTATAGAATTTAAATTTGGTGTCAACAAAAGTTAATAAAAAATCATAAAATCTAAATAATTGTATTAGAAAAGTTGCCTTTAAAATCAAGCAAAACAAAATCCTATTTTTCCAACATTTTTAAATTTCAAACAAATCTACAAATTATCTAATTATACACATAAAAAGTAGTTAAAATTGATAAATATTTTTACCTGTAAAAATGTAATTCAATACTCTTCAATTTGAGTGTTTTTTTTTATTAAAAAAATATTTATAATTAAATAATTTATTATTATTATTAGAAACGTTCGATTTAAAAACTCAATAAAATTTTGAAATTTAATTTTTGTTTGAATGTGATTAATAATTATAAATAATTATTTTATAAAATTTACAATCAAAAAGTTGCGTTTTTTTTATTTTTATTTTAAAGTATATTTTATAAAGTATATAATATTTTGTAATAAAATAAATAAAATTTTATAATAAAGAAAATGAAAATATATTAAAAAAAGAATTTTGTAGCTTCTACACTTAATCACCTGGGGCGCTTTAAAGCTTCAGTGAAGAAAGATAATTTGTACCTCGGGGCTGTAATGCAACTCTTCGTGATTAAATAAAATAAAAATTATATTATAACATTTACATGTATTTTTTTTTAAGGTAAAGAAAAACGACAATAAGCAAGATATAAAAAACGAAATTAAATTTCTTATATACCATCTTATGATTTTATAAATATATCATTAACAAAACACAAACCATAACAATGAATTAGGTATAATGTAGTTAGTGTAAGCAATTATCCTCTACATTATAAAATTATCTGTGGAATCTTTTTTTTTAAAAAATCTTTTAATTTATAGATTGCTTTCCTGCCGAGTATTTAATTTATTTTAAGGGTGCAAAATTAAATGTATATTTTTTTCCCTTTAAATTTACTAAAGGTAAATAAAATTATATTATTTTGAGATATATTTTTAGCAAGACTATAGCACAGCAGGAAGGGATACCAATGTGTCATCAAAATTTTAAGGGGGGTGGTCTCTAACTCTAACAGGAACAAAAGGGTCATGTTAATAATTTAAAGAATGATGCATTTTTACATATGGCATATTTCTTACTGAAATCAAACTTTTAACCCAGGGTGAAGCAACCGCTAGTAGCTATAGGCCCTGCGTTTAATATCCAATTAATTTTTTCTGCAAAATAAAAAATAAATGATTTGGCTGGTTTAGTCCCACTTAAAACGTGGATATGGGGTAAGATAAGTTTATGCATTTTTTTTAAATGTGTGTGTTACACCGAAATCTTCAGAGAAAATTTCGATAATAATATTAGGGAAGGAGAGGGGGGGCAAGACATTTATATAAAATTTATATTAAGGATAGGTAGTTCAGATAGGTAATCCATATATGATTAAGAGAATAGTTCCAACTAGGCAAAGATCTTCTATTTTTTGCTTCTGCTTACAAGGATTATAATAGATATTTACTGTTTTTTTTAATATTAGAAATGATAATATAAAAATGACTTTAATCTCCTAGAAATTATCAGAAGATGTTTTAGCAAAGAAGTGATTTTATAAAATGATAAGGAAATGGGGTTAAAAATAATTTTTTTTATCCCCGTTGCTCCTCCTTTGCATAATATTAGGGGAGACCAGGACTAGTCGACGCAAGGGGCTTGTCGTTTCAACGCATTTTATTTAAAAACCAGACATGTTTAGAAATTCAAATTTTATTATATAATAGTATTGTATTATATGTATTTTTGAGGCGAAAAATATTCTATACCCCTCAGTTTAAATTTTTTATGATAGAAGGTATTCATTATTTTAGTAACTAGGGGGTAGTATAATTTGGGCTAGTCGGTCTAATCAAATTATGCATACAATATGATATGTTATAATATATTTATATAATAATATAAAATAAGTATTTATTGGCCACTTTTATATATTTAAATCATTTCTATATGATAATACAATAGAATCAGGAAAAAATATAAAAAATTTAACACATTTTTTATAATTCAAATAATGTCATATTTTGTCATTTATATATGAATTATTTTTATATAAATTTGGGGTTTGTTGGCGCAAAAAATTACATTTATTAGAATCAATCTTGAGAAAAAGAATAATATAGTTTTAAAATTTATCAATGTAAAAGGTTAGATAGATGTTTGGGCTATCTTATGGTATTTTGTAAATTCAACTAAACAATTATTTTCCTATGATGATTTTGACAAAAATTGCGCAGACTTAGCCCTTTTACATTTTTTTATATTTAAAACAAAATATATGATATATTTGAAAAAATTATACATTTATGGAAAATAAAATAACTATTAGTTACCTTAAATTTGCTTAGGATAATGTCAATTAATTTAACCATCAAATAAAATAAAATTTTATGTTATTAATCCAGCTTACTTATAGGGATATTCATAGTCAGGTGGGGTTATATTTTATTTATAAAATTCTAATTTGTATATAGTGTGTGTATGATTTGTTGTAACATATCCATATATTTGTATTATAAAATTGTTTGACTTGCTGTAATTATTGTAAAAATAACATTGACCATTTAAAAAATAATAATTACAGCAAAGTTAAACAAATGTATTATTTTTTAACTTTGAGCGCGTTTTTTTGATTTTACCAGAAATGTTTTCTATCAAGTTTGGAATACCTATCCTATAAATATGAGACGATTTCACTATGAACTTTTGAACTTAATATAATTTATATTAGTTTTCCCATAGATTTTTTATATAAATTAAAAATGACTCAAAGGCTAACGGTCTAAAATTCATATGAATTCCAAACGTGCTGAAATACATTTCCGGTAAAATCCGATTTTTAAATTTACAAAAACACGCTCAAAAAATGATTTAAAGGTGAAAAAATTACACATAGCCAGAGAAAACACATTGACGCTAACATATACAAGTCAGAGCCAGGTCTTTACCTCTGTTTGTAAAATATATTCTTATTTCACATCTACTATGAATTTTCCGATATACACTAATTAAAAATCATGCACGATCTCTAATTAAATATATTTTTTGCATATCCAAGATTCTTATAATTGCATCCCGATTTCCCTAAGATTATCTCCTATTTTGATGAAAATATATGACCTAAGATAGGAGGGACTTTAGTAATATTATCCCCCCCCCTCTGAAGGCTATACTATTCACTTAATTGACGAGTGCACCAACTTCCTTATCGATAATATTTAAATTTGAATCGGATATAGCATAATAAATTGTTAAATATTATATATATCATCTATACAATTGCTTGTATTAATTTATTTCAAATATAATATTTATATTTTTAGTGCTGTGTACGTTAATTCTAAAAAAGAAACTCATTAGGTTAAAGGAACGCCTTACCGTTACTTGTTATCTTAAAAAAAGGAACGCGTTACTCGCTATTCGAAAAATGTAAGTCATTACTCTTTATCTGAAAAAGATTCAATTCTGCCAAAATATAATAAATCATGAGTGTTAAAAATGTCACGGGATAAGTTTTGTAAAATGGTATCAAAATTAGCTGATTTTTAAAATATAGACAATTCGAGGAAGAAGGATAATATTTTTATACTGTGATTTTTTCCCCCATTACCTATATTTTCATATTTTGCTAATTTTAAATAAGGTTGCTACAAATTTTGACCCCACTATCAGAATAATTTCGGTTCGTTTAGAAATTTTAAAATATTTTTTTTAAATTATGTGAATAAATAGAGAAGCCATACATACAGCGTCTACATAAGGGGTAGGAGATAGGATAAAAGCATCTTGCCTACAAATTTTTTGAAGGGGGAATGCATCTAAGAGGGGTTAAGATAAAGATAATGTAAATATAAGAAAGTTATTTAATTTTTAGATGATATAGGGCAAAATATACTGCTATAAAAATTATATATTAAAATTGACGCTGTTTTACTCAAATCGAAATATATTATTAAAATTTATACAATCATAAATAAAATATTAAAACAATTTAGTAATCGATATTTTCGAAAATATCTATATTCATGAATATTATCTCGATTCCCATGACTTTTATATTGCCTTTGGATCCACATTCTTTCTACTTTTTGGTTATGGATGGATTCATTAGGATCAACAAAATTTAGTGTGATTGACCTGATAGTGGACATAATTTGTCCGTTCTATTCGATTATAAATATGAAATAAATATGTAACTATAAAAATTTTCTAAAAATATATATCTTTTAAATTCCCTTATTAAAAAAAATAAATATAAAAAAATAAATAAAATAAAAACAATATACCTCCTGAAAGAAGCAACAACCGAATTCATAATGGTAGTTTTTTGGTCAGATCATACTTACATTTCAAACAATAAGTAAATAATAAAAGCGATTCTTATTTCTGTAATGTATTATATATATATCTGAAAGAAACTGAGAAACAAGAAAAATAAAAAGAAAATATTTGGAATAAGTTTCATAATATTTACTAATTGTCTAAATATTATATTATTATTTTTATAAAAGGTTATTACTTTTATATTATTTTCCTTATTTTTAAGAGATTATATTTACGTTATTATTCATATATATTTATATGTTAGCGCCTATGTGTTTTTTCCGGCAATGTGTTATTTTTTCAACTTTAAATCGTATTTTGAGCGCGTTTTTTTTAAATTTATGAATCGGATTTTACCAGAAATGTATTCTATCATGTTTTGAATATCTACTCTATGAATTTCAGATAATTTTGTCATTAACTTTTGAGCGTAATATAATTTATATTAGTTCTTCCATAGTTTTTCATATAAATTATAAATGACTCAATTTAAAAATAAAATTATCTACAATTCATAAGATAGGTATTCTAAACATGCTGGAATACATTTCCGGTAAAATCAGTTTTTTAAATTTAAAAAAACGTGTTCAAAAAATGACTTAAAGTTGAAAAAATAACATTGCCGGAAAAAATACAATTCCGCTCTAACATAATTTCACAACCTTTATATTTTGATATAAAAAGACAAAGTTTTTATAATGCATTATTATCTGTACGTCTGTAAATACATAGTATTTTTTATATTTTGGAAATAAAGATATAACCAAAAAAGCAATAAGAAGACCCATTGTAAAAATAAAATGTGTACGAACCAGATATTTATACTTCAATTGGTACGTAAAAATGTATTTACATTTTGCTTTTACGCTTAATTTTGTTGGCAATAATATACAAATATATTTACACTGTTTATCGTGTATATAGTTTCATCGGTGTCAATTTTTTAAATTTTTATCGGGAGCCGGTATAAAAATACAAACGTTCTGCCGTCGCCTAATAATATATCTGCGCACAAAGATATACCCCAAAACTTTATTTTCAATAAAAATTAATATAATTAAAATTAGGCCCATTAGTTCGAGTCAAATGCTTAAAAAAATTTATATTTAAATATTTCAGATAAGCGAGTTTTTTTTATGTTTGACCATATATTTATGTCCTGGGGTATACACAGAATTCTTACATATATTTTTTTTTAAATTAATTTTACCTAGAATTCGAATTTTGATTATACACTCTCAAAAAACCCTGCTGACCATAATTAAACATTATTATTTTTATTTATATAGTTAATGCCATGTCTAAAACATTATCTTAAATAATATTTTAAGATTTATAAATGATCCCTCTGCCGGTTCATAATTAATAAGGATTGTAAACTATAAATATATCCTATAATTTTTTTATTAAATATTAAAATTTTACGCTTAGTTATATTATGACTGAATTAGGACAGTAAATTTGAAAGACAAACCCTGCTGCCTCTGGAGGATAGTTGTCACGGCATTTATAAATCTCCTGTATTTTCAATAGAGGTATCGAAGAAATTGATCATTTTGTTTAAATACTTGATTTATTGAATAATTAAGTATGCAAACTCGTTTTGAAAGGATAGAAAAATTCCTTTCAAAATTTCATTAGGAAAAATGCGTCTAATATCACATTCATAAATAAAAACAATTGACCTAAATTGCTTATTTAAGAGGGTCTTGTGACACGAGACACAGCCTCTTGACAAATCTTAATTTTTCAATCATTTTGATAAAATTTTCCTTCTTACTACTATATATTTTTGAATAATCTCTACAATATAAAGTCGTTAGTAATATTCTTATTGCTTCACTTTTTCTCTCACTTCGAAACCAGGGGTTTCGGATACAGGTCTAAAACCCGTCATAAAAAATTTTAAAAAATGAGTGGTGGTGCGGTGCATGAAAAATATTTTAAATCGAGTGGACTGATTTAAAATATTTTACGGACAACGAATGAGATAGTTACTATATTTTTAAATGACGAGGACAAAATTATTTTTCCCCAAGATTATGGACTGGTTTAAATTAATGAGTGGACAGAGTTGCGGGCTAAACTCGTCATTTATATAACTCTAGTTTCAGGACCTAAATTTGTCCGATTTTTGAGAAAGAATACAAGATTTTAAAAATCATCCGCTTAGAATAATTTAGTGTAATATTTATAGTGTTATTTTTAAAAGTTATTAACTTTTGATAATTAATATTTGGAATTCTTCTTTATAGTGATCTATTGCATTTTTGAGGGAGAAGGGGGTGGGGTTTGGAAATTTTTATTAGAAGCTTTACAAAACAGGCAAATTTCAGAAAAGGGTGTATTTCCCCATGACTTTTCCCTTATGGCTTCGTCTATTTATTCATATATTGCAGCGCATAGAGTTTCGGGAGTATGCTCTCTTCACCATGTAGCCATCTAAGGGTCTTTCATGTGTCCATCCCCTTGTTTTGCTTATGAATAAAGACAGATAAATTACTTAAAAGGAAAGAACATGCATTTTTTTATTTGATTCGCCAAAGAGGCTGATGACTTGTTTACTATATATTTGCAAATCGTTTGCTATTTATCTCCCTTTATACTAAATTCCGAATATTGAATAGCATAAATAACATTATTAACGGTTGTATTTGACAGCAAATTATTCGGAATATTTCAACTTTCCTTTTCTACGTTTTCTCCTAAATAATCCCCATGATAATTTTTTAATTATAGAATTTCTAAGTAGTTCATTGTGGTCAGATCCTTGCTAGAATTTGTTTACCTAACAACTGTATCTCAAATATATGTTGTTTCATGGATATTATTGTCAATCTGTAGATTCTTTTCATTTATTATTAACCCAATTGAATTCTAATTTTATAATAAATTATAAAATAATGTATAAAGATGTAAATCAATCATAACTTGACTTTCATTTATGCGGAAAAGCATTTTTTATTGATAGTATTTTTAAAAACCCCATAAAATAGCAATATCTAAATGATAATCCTTAAAATGGTATTGATATGTATTCTAAAACAATAAATATAAGTTTTAATATAAAATATATGAATGATAAAAGTCGTAATTTATATAATAAAAAAAATTTTTTATTTTTTTTTCCTAGTGGGTCTCTTTTATTTTTTTTATTTTCTGATCAGATTCAAAAATCGGCATTTTCCTGTGGTCTCGTGGGCAAAATGCCTACCTGGTCATATGGTTAGTCCGCCTCTGGTTGCGTATGTAAAGATATGCCAATGGTAGACCAAGAAACACGCGTATATCGCCTTGAAGCTATTCAAGTTTATTGTACGGAAAAAAAAATTATTATCACCTCTTGAAAAAAAAACAATTCGTGTCTATAATTTAATCACTTAAATCGTTTTAATAGTAATAATCAGTGGCCCCTATACTTTCTGAGCAATGGAAGCAGAATACCCTCCTGAAAGTACACCCCCCCCCCCTCGAAATGGTTAATTATTTTTTGACACCCATAAATTACAAAAATAATTTTTATTGCTTTTTAATATATAATATAAATAAAATGTAATTTAAAAATAATATTTTTAAATTAATAATTTAGACAAATTAGGGGAAGAGAAAGCGAAAGAATAATTTCATCAATATTTAATTGTTAAAATAAATTTTTTCCCATTGATAAAATGGTTAAATTATTAAGAAATAGATCTTTCATGGTACTACGAAGTCTTGTTTTAAATTTAATTTTACTCATGACCTTTTCGGCAGTACATGAGGTAGTAGGAATGGTTAATAAATATTCATATAAAATTGTTAAGTTATGGAAAGTAGAAAAATTTTAAAGTAGACGATAAGGCAAAATAAACGAATAGTTTTACTAGTCTAAATCATAAGTCTCAGAATTAAAGCTACTATTTCAAAGCTTTTCTTTATATCGTTAAAATTAAGCCCACCATGTCTTTTTCTAATGTGGTCTGTCCATTTATTATATTATGCCATGTGCAATTAATAATTATACATATATATATTTTTTGGTTAATATTTTTGGGCATATTTTGAAATTGGAAAAATAATTTTATGACAAAAAATCTCGGATAACAACATAAATTGCTAAACATCGACCAAAATTTATTAAAATGTAATAATAAGATCCCTTTTCCCTTATTATTTAATTTAATATGTATTAACGGAATCACGAGGTGGAGTCCGATATCATAAACCAAAAATCATTTGGTTATGAATGGGTATAGTTAAACAATAAAAGAATTAAAGTTTTAAAAAAAAAATTTTTAAGAATGGTAGATGCAAATATTTGTTTTAATTTATGACACAACAAAAATATCTATGGGGAGCTAAACAGTTTAACTTCTAGAAAAGATGAACACTATCTAACAGCACTATTTCCAGGAATTAAAAAAGTTTTTAGAAAAACCATCCAAAAAATATATATATATATACTCCTTCCCTGAAAAAAGATCAGACGCCCTTGAAGAAATTTATATTTTCATTAAAGACAATTTATAAAGGCTTGATCATAAGTTATCTTTTATTTAAATTTAGAATTTTAGTACAAATATTATAATATATTGGGTACAAAGATTAATGTTGTTTTTGCGACAGTGCTAATTAATTTATATGATTTAATTATATAATTTGAATTGGCTTGCGGTATATTTATCAAATATTTTTATTAAGAGTAAAGAAGAATAAATATTTGATAAGCTTTTATAAAATATGTTATTAAGACTTTGAAATAAAATAATTCCAATTGTGCGTTAACTAATAATTTCACGAGATAAAGGATATAATACGATGCGAATATTGTTAAACCAGATAATGGGAGAGTATTAATGCTGGCTCCATTTGATCGATTTTATGTCAATCCCTTCTTGAACCATCTCCCATAGAGGGCTGAATTGTTTTTGTTACACAAATAATGCATTTATGCTTAATTATAAATTAATGATACCATTATTTTATATAGTATATAAAAATTGAATGTTTTTTAAAAAATCAATAAGTTTAACTCGAAAGAGAATCAATATAGTGATTTATGTCGTTTTTATGAATTCAAAACATTTAACACAATCTTTTTAAACAAATCGTTCCCAACCAATCTTAAATCCTACAATGCGCCGAATTAGCTTCTTGAGTATACTTTAATATACTTTCTTTAGTTAGAAAGATTATGTTGATTATTTAAAAAATCTACCAAAATAATCATCGAAGTAAAAGGCATCTGATAATGAAAAAATGAGTTGAATATACCGTAAACATGCATAGAAATTGCAACAGATTATTCATAGAATATGTGATTATTTTTTAATATAATCTATCACCCATCAATTAGAAATAAACAATTAAGTACCAAGCCAGTTCAATTTAACAAAGCCTCCTTAAAATTTTTCATGCATTACATTAAATTTTCAGAATATATATCCTTTACAATATCGTAAATCCTTATCAGTGGAGTGAATGACTGGTAATGATTCCAGTAATTGAAAAAAAAACATCTTACTTTTAATATTTCAAAATATGATGTTAACTTTCCCTTATTACATACTTTTTAATTATAACAAACTTGTTGAATGTCCCTGAGGAAATTCCTCTTTAGTGTTTATATTGAGTTCAATACATATAATTATAAGAAGTGTTAAAAAAATACAAAAGATTATAATTTCAAAGTTCAAGCTTATTGATTCTACTGTAGTAGTAAAAAATTGTCCAGTCTCATTTAATGTAATAGGAAAGAAATAGAGAAATGCCAAACCTCATACTCCTCAATCTTTCTACATGCTGCGCAAGTTTCTCTACAGTATATTTGATTTCATCCATTGTAGTAAATCTCCCTATTCCAATCCTAATCGATGAATGGGCTAGATCCTCATCTGTGCCTATAGCGCGGAGAACGTAAGAAGGTTCTAGGCTGGCAGATGTGCAAGCGGATCCGGAAGAAAGAGCTATGTCTTTAAGAGCCATTAGAAGGGATTCACCTTCGACGTGGGAGAAGGAAAAGTTAACACAACCTGGCAAATATTTTCGTGAAAAAAAGAAATATATATTAACATAATAAAAAGGATGGGTGAAGTTAATTTTATAAAAGATATTATCATACATGGATTTAAAATATCAATTCAAATTAATAACAAAATCTTAAAAATAAAACAAGACATCCAATTTTCCTTCCCCATTTCTTGTACCATTAACTATCCACTTAATCAAAAAAATTGACACCGATTTCACTTGGCAAGTTAATCGCATAAACAAAACATGATTTAGTATATTAAGCTATGCCCAAAATCTTTTTTAAAAAAATTCAATTTAAAAGTTTTAAAAGAAATTGTATGTTGAATTTTTGAAATTTATAAAATTTTGTAGAATTATGTTTTGGACATGTTTTTATTTTTATTTCTAAAATAGCTTATTTATTTATTTTCATTAAAGTTTAGAAAGTTTGTAAATTTAATTTTTTGATATTTTGTATAAACAATGAATATATTATTTAAATAAGTCTCGTTTAGGATTTAGGAATTCCCAGTGTTTAACATTTATTTTATCAAGAGCGGTCCATATCATTTTTTGAATAAAAAACTGTATTGAAGGATGTTTGATTCTAACGAAATTGGGAAACCTTTTGTTCCATTTTCACACCGATTCAAAAAGTGAGCTGTAAAATGTGACAGATGAAGTAAAGTTTGAACGAGGGGATATGTCCAGATGGTCCGATAAAAAAAGATCAATAAAAAAATATAGCGAAAAAATTTGTGACGAATTTGTTACATTTGAAAACTTATCGAAAATATTACTGATTCAAATTCTATTACTTCTCAGTCTTAACACAACAGAATTCAAAGAAGGTTTTAAAAATATATATTCATTTAAACCTAGCATGTTGAATAATTTTACTATTATCAAATAAAATATGTTTTTGGGGTGTACATTTTTATAAAATAAATTATAATTAAAAATAGAGTTAAATAATTTATTTTTTTGGAGTTAATATTCCAAAAAAACTTCCAAGGCGTGAATATTCTAGGAACAATTTTATAGCACAACAACATATAGCATTATGTGAGTAATAGATTTTAAAGTATTAATCAATGGAAACAATTTAAAAAATAGACCGATTTCGGGTCATTCCATGACAAATCAACCCCGATTCGGTCGACTCTCTTCAATTGTTTTAAATTTTGGTAAGCAAAGAAAGGTAAATTTTACTAATAAATAGCCAAAATTTTAGCCTGAAACATTTATAATTTTGGAGATATAAGGGAAAAGTGATAAAAATGCCGTATTTTTACCATTATCGACATTCATTAAATTGATCATATCTTAAAAACTTTATAATTATAAATAACAAAATTAATAACAAAATTACATATAAAGATTATACATTTCGATAAAAAAAAATTTTTTTGATTTTTCCAATTTGCAGCTATTTTATTTAATATCTAAGTTCATTTCCAAACAGAACGTTTTTTTAAAGCGGTTTTTGAAGCATGTTTTCCAGTAATTTTTATTTATTTCCAAACAATGGATAGAAATATATTATTTAAAACAAAGAGTTGCGCATTGAAAACATTGTAATTCCGTAATTTTTTTAAATTTTTTTTAGCATTTAAATTAATAATAAATTATAATCATAATGATTTGTTTTAATAACAATGGTTAGTATGAATCGCATTATTAATTGGTAAGTATTAATGTAATATATAATATTAATCCATTTTAGGATATTCTATGATTAATTACATTAATTTAGTTTAGTAAGGCCTTTTGAAATATAACATTTAAAGTTAACCCATTATCGGAAATATTACAATTTTAATATCAATTGACCCATATAAAGTGTAATTTATAGCTTTTTAAGTTAAAGATATAATTACGAAAAAAACTATTATGGATAGCTATATTGATCCCTCCCCATTAGCCCATATATAGTGTAATTTATAGCTTTTTAAGTTAAAGATATAATTACGAAAAAAACTATTATGGATAGCTATATTAACCCCTCCCCATTAGCCCATATAATAGTGTAATTTTATAGCTTTTTCAGTTAAAGATATAATTACGAAAAAACTATTATGGATAGTGACCCCTCTCCTATAGCCCATATATAGTGTAATTTATGGCTTTTTAAGTTAAAGATATAATTACGAAAAAAACTATTATGGATAGCTATATTGACCCCTACCACTCCTTTTCTATGATTTGTTGGTATACTAATTATTGTTATTTCATCTTTCCCAATATCTACTCCCTTCCCCATTATAATGCATTAATTGATTGTATTCCCTCTAAAGGAATAAAACATCACCTTCTCCAAAATAATCTTATAATTTATTTTAAGGAAAAAAAATTATTGCAACTATCACTTTAATTCCTTATAATGTAATATAATTATAATTATCTCATCACTTTCACATGTATTGTATTGTAAGAGTTATTTTTTTTAACATGTTATGATATAATATGTTCAATTTATACTTAAAATGTTTATTTTTTTTTACTGTTCTGAAGCGATATTTTCCTATTATAATATGTTCAATTTATATTTTAAAATGTTTATATTTTATTGTTTTGTGGCGATATTTTGTTTTATATAAAAAACATAATTTTCTTTCATATTAACAGGAAAAAATTAATTATACAAAGATCAATAATATTGATAACAAAAAAAATTTGATTTTGTAACTCATTTATGTTTATAAAAATTTTGTCTGGGACGCAGCTAGCTAGCGTCATTATCAAAATTGAAATTATTAGATAAGTGTATAAATATTTTCCGTCAATTTTTTTTAACATATTTGATATAATTAAAAAGATTATTAATCTTCTAAGTGAAAACATCAATCAATGTACATTTCCATCAATAGAATAAATTTATCAATCGATAAAAGAAATTCTACATCTTATAAAAAAAGTAACGATATAATAAAATAACTTGATTTAATCATTTTACAATAAAAAAAATTTTATTTAATCTAAAATATTTAATTTCTCTCAATTTTTTAATTAATTGATTAATCATTCAATCACACATGTTCATATATATTAATTCGCACTTCTTTGCAATTATATTTTCGCACACAAGTTGGCATAATTATATATTATTTTTTAACATCTTTTTCAAAATAAATTTTAATTATTTGTATACATATTTTTAGGCTTGATTCAATTTAAAAAAAAATATTTATTAGATATTATTCGAAAATAGTGGTAATTTTGATTAATTTTTTCTCATAGAATTTCAATAAAATGAACCAAATCCTTCTTTAAAAAACAAGGTATTGCAACCCTTTTGCATATCACAAGTCACCACATAATAGTTACTAAAGAATCTAAGAAATATATAACCACTGGTAATACCTCTTCCAGGTGATAAGATATGTGATAAATATTTTTAAAAAATGGAAAAGTTCAAAAGTCACATGATGAATTTGTAGGCCTTGGTATATAACATAATAAAGAGAACCTGGTTATTTATCAATACATAGTCGATAGAAATTGTGAATCTCCAATAAAAAAAAAAGTTGACAGAAAAAGGGTATCTAGCTAAAAAAAAAAATTACAAGATAAACAAAGACTATAAATGAGATTCAGACAGCCACTTTTGATAAAAATAATTATATTCTAATCAATATTTTTAAAAAAATATCCCACTCTTATCTAAAACTAACAAATATAAAATTTCATTGTAAAAATGGTCAATGTCCAAAAAATATATAAATTACATGGCAAGAAAAGCTAATACTAGGTCTAATGTCGAGAGTGTCGTAAAGAAGTTTTAATATGCAAATTTTAGTTGTTAAATAATAGAAAATGTTAAAACAGAATATTGTTGCAAATTATAGAGAATATATTATATTAAAGCCAGGGTTGTGCAAAAAAACATAAAATTATGATTGATATATTCAAGAACTCTAAAGTTGAATGAACACTTTTTATTAAGAATTATTAAATGTTTGTCATATGGAAAAATAATTTGATAATAAATTACAAATTATAAATGTAATAAATTAAATTTCTTTACCGAGCCAAATTTATTTTAATGTTAGGAACACACAATGATATTTTTATTTACAAGATGAATAATCTTTTAAATTACATCGAATAACTTTTATACAAAATTTTTTCACCGATTTTGAGAATTAAGATGGTTATGTCCAGACAGAATTTTATAAACATAAATGAGGAGTTTGGTAATGTCTATTAAATTTTTTGTAAAAATTGAAGGTAGTATTATTTCCAAAAAAATCGTTTTTAATACTTTATATATTAAATAAAATGGCCGGAAATTGGAAAAATCAAAATAAAAAATTTCCATCTAATGTAATTATGATATAAACAATTATGTAGTTTTCAAGATATGATTAATTGAAGGAAGGTTGAATGATTAAAATACGTCATTTATTTGACCCCTTTATATCTTCAAAAATATAAAGATTGGGAGGCTAAAATTTAGATTATTTCTTATTTACATTAACCTTTTTTCTTATCAATTTTTAAAAAATCGAAGGGGGTCGGCCGAAAATCTTATGGAATAACTCTTTTGTCAAAAAAAATAGAATAAAACAAATAAAGTTTATTAGGAAAATATGACGTTTGAGCTGGATAATATTTACCAGGATATCCTAAAATTTCGTCACCATTCCTTACCACGTTAGGTATTTTCTCTTTTATCCCTTTAACAAGAGCGTCCGACAATTTTTTAACCCTTGTGGAATCATAATCAAAATCCGCCTCCGCTATTCGACAGGCTTCTCCGAGGCCCACTGCTAAAGGTGTGGGAAGCGTACCGCTCCTCATTCCTCGCTCCTGACCCCCACCTGATTGTATAGGGTCAATTCGGACACGGCGTGGCCGACGACGAACGTAAAGGGCTCCTATACCTAATTTTTAAATGTTTTTTATATCTGATATTAATTAGATTAATCTTTACTTTACAAATATACATTAATAATAAAAAAAATATATAAAATTTTTTATATCAATACTTCTTATTAGAAATCTGCTCCCAGCCCTAGCCCAGCCCAAACGGGCTTGGGCCAGGCCTATTTAAAAAAAATAATTATGTGCTTGGGATGGGTCAGGCCTAATATTTTTAAAAAAATTCGGACCAGGTCTGGCTTAAATTTTTAAATATGATATCACTCGAGTTTAAGGAATAAATTGATATATTTTAAAATTCTTGCATGAAACATCCAATATATTTTATTTGCAGAATATTTTTTTTAACAATTAAAAAAATATTAAAGTTTTCTATATTTAAATATATTCGGTCTAGGTGGGCAGACAAATAATATTTTGTGTAGAACTTTTCAAGGCAAATAGTTCGTTCAAAATTGAGCCGGGCTGAAAATATTTTTTTTTTAAATTTCGGACCGGGTCTTAAAATTTAGGCCCGATGCAGATTACTACTACTTATATAATACCTTTAGGTCCATATATTTTATGACCACTGATAGACATGAGATCAATTTTAAATTTGTCAACGTCCATGGGAATTTTGCCTACAGCTTGGGCAGCGTCCGTATGAAAAAAAATATTTTTTTTCTTACATATCTCGCCTATAAATTATAAATATTACAATAATTTTCAATATCGATCATAATGGCATTTTAAAAAAATTTTTAAAGTGTTTTACGATAACATAGAAATTAAAATAGTTGTGCATATCAGATATTTTCTTTAAAATTCCAATATCGAAAACTCTGGAAATAACCTTAAGAATATTTCCTGTTGATAAAGTTGAAATATTTCCCAACTATTAACATCATATAAAAAGTGCTAAATAAACAAGAATTAATGTAAATTTAAGAAAAACCTATTTGTTGAATGGGTTGTATTATCCCGATTTCGTTGTTAACAGTCATGACAGATATCAGGATCGTTTCTGAAGTAATGGATTCTTCCAATACCTTTTTGAAAAATAAAATATATAGCAAGTCAACTATAGTTGTTAAATGGCTAACACAATATTATAGCCAAAAATGCAAGCCAGATGATATTGCTCATAGATAGTAGAAAGGTTTGGACATCGATTAACAAAATTACGAAGATTGCATATACTTTTCATTTAACGACACTAATATCAGCTCACTTTAATAAAAAATTTGGAGTAAATTTTCTCTCTCTTTATTTAAATTTTGCTGATTTACTTTCTTTCTTACTAGCCATGACCGATTTCTTTGAAGATAGTTATTTAATTACCTCAAATATATATGCATTATTTTTTTTTAAATCATTATTATATAAACTATTTTTAATTACTTTTAAATCTACAACCCCATTTTTTTGCACGGGTAAATAAGTGATTTTAAAGCCTTCGCTCTCCAAAGCTCTACAGGAGTCCAACACGCATTTATGTTCCTGTCAAAATATTATATAAATTAATATATATTTTTTTGCAACCAATATAAATTAATCGATCACCACGTGATATTAGTAACCAATAAAAATAATTTTATATACTCCTGCCTAAACGATGTTAAACAGCACAACAATGAAGAGGATATCACTGAAGGACGATTATAATATGCTGTTTTAAAATATTTGTTTGATTTTTGATATTTTTTCTGCGTAAATTGTCATATGGTACACCGGATTTTTACCTTGAAAAGGTGGACATGTATTATTATAGTGTATTATATTTTTTTTATATGTATAATTAATAATTGACGTGAAAAAAATATATCTGTAAAATAAACTCACTTATTTCTTTTTGTTAAAAATTATTTTTTTTTAAAGATAGTTTTTTTGGTATTTAAAAATTATAAATTTTATATAGTTATTGTAGTTTGTATATATAATATAATAAAATAATACAACACTGCCTATTGTCTATCTAGATTTTTTTGTTATATATTTCGGTTATTTTTGCAACATTTCGAGACAACTAATAATTTTTATTTCAAAATATTTAATCTTTAATTTAATATATGAAATTTAAAAATAGGCATATTCTTTTAATTAAAAATTGTTTTCCAACATTATTAGCAAGTTTTTCTAAGTGAAACTATCAATTTTAATTTTGTTTCCTTTTTTGTTACAAGGATTCGGATAAGGGGCCAGCCAGGTGGATAATCAAAATAAAAAAATATATATTATTATAATGATTACATGAGAAACGATTTAAATAAGATAAATTATTAAATTTATCTGAAAAAAATTAACTTAATATAATTTAGTATTGGCCAGTCGTATCGGTGAAATAAAAAGTATCAACCAATACCACCCAATGCATCTGTGGTCCATGGAATATTAACGTAAATAGTTCTGCCGTTAAAAAAAGTTTTAGTTTCGACAAGTGAAATGGACTAAAATCATCATAAAGAGATAATAAATATAAAAAAGATGGACTTACCACTATGTTTCAGCGAAATCGTTTCTAATTGTGTATTTTGCAGAGTTGTTAAAGTATCTAGATACATGTGGTATCTGTATCTAAATATTATTTTAGACCTATCTGTATCTGTTTTTAGATACTTTTTAAGGTACATTTTGATATACTTTTATTTAATGCTTTTTTATATTATAAATAAAAATACTTGAATGCAAAATTTATTTTATTTCATATGGGCATATAATTAAAATATATATATTAAAAATATTAAGACTACTATAATAAAAAATTATATATATATAAAATATTAAAACTTATATATAAAAAATATATATAATTCATTAAATATTATGTGCGAGTTTATTAATAACCCAGACAAATTTTGATATTACAATGCAACTCAAGGAATCTGCCATTTTTATTTTCGATGTAATTCGTTAATTTTATTTTATTATACTAATTTTAAATATTTTAGATTAATATTAATAGTGATGAAGAGGAAGAGGAAGAAGTAATAATCAATGAAGCATCAACAAGTTCAGACATTGTTTATGGCCAATTTATAGAGAATATTTTAAAATAATATCTCAAAATAAAGAAAACAGATCTCTGATAGTAAAATATTTGCCATATCTATATCTACAAAAGAATACAAAAATTCCAGTTATCACCTCAACTTGCAACATTGTAAAACATTTAAGGGTATAGATACTAAATAAATGTTTACAATTGCAATTTAAATTTTAAGAGAAAGAATCAGACACTGTTAATGAAAAACAATTAATACAAAGAATAGTAGATGAATTATCAAGGTCTTCAAGTGATTGCAAACAATTAACCTGTGGAAAAAACAAATAATTTAATATCCGATTTTTTTCAGTAGTTAATAATAATTTCAATTTTGATACTCAACAAATTTTAAATAATTTTTTCGAAAATGAATGTCGAGATTTTATTTTTTGGAATATCCTGATGTTATTCATAAAATATAACACCACAATCCCTTCAAGTTCCTTGGTAGAAAGACTTTTTAGTGTAGGTAAAAATGTCTTTACAGATAAACGAGGTAGCCTTAATGACCAAAATTTTGAAAATATTTTATTACTGAAGTCTAAAATTATTTATAATCATTTAACAATATATTTTCATATATTATATTATTATATTAAAATCTAAAAATTAGGGATGTACCGATATTTTTTAACGGATCGGATCGGGCCGATAATTCACCCATTTTAAAATATCGGTTATAGGCCAATATTATAAAATTTCCCGATCCGATCCGATATAAAATGGTGTCTTTAACAAAAATAAAATGTTATAAAATTTTTAAAAAAAGTTATATTTAAAATCATTTATTTTTATAAATAAAATCGAAACCCATTTTTAAGTATATTTTTTTAATAATAATAATTAATTAATAAACAATCTGCCATATTGTTATATTTTTTGCGCATGTTTATAAAAGTGTGTGATAATCTCTTCAGAATCTGTTTTAGGTGACTGGTAAATTGACAGTTACCATCGCCGCAGGCTGACCTCTGATAAATTGGAAATTTTGGTATTTCTAAAAAGAAATCTTCGATATCTTAATGTCAAATATTATTTTAAATATTTAATTCAAATTTCATATATATTTGTTTATTACTTATTATGTATATAGATTAATATTATATAAAAATGATTTAACAATAAAAATATTTTATATACTTTTAGAATAGCGATTGAATTGAATATAAACTAAATGATCATTATAATATATTTAAATGACATAAGTTATGGTATAGTTAAATTATAGATGTTACTAATAAAATGTATATTAAAAATTAAAACCATTGGTATCTTTACAGAATATAAAATTAGATATGATATCGGATCGGTAATCGGCCGATATCAATTTAATATTAGGAATATCGAATAGGATCGGCTTCCAAAAAGTGGTTAATTCCACTACTAAAAATAATTATTTTACTTATATTTTGATAAATGTGTTATCTAATCAATAAAGTTTTTAGCTCATTTCATTTATTTCATAATAGAATCCTAATTTAGGTTTATGCAAAGCTTATATAAGATCATTAAAAAAGGTATCTGTATCTAGATACATTTTAAAAATGGTATCTGTATCAAGATTTTTTAGATGATGTATATGTATCTGGATCTAGATAAGTTTTTAGACGATGTATCTGTATCTAGATCTATTTAAAAAGTATCTTAACAACTCTGGTAATTTGTAATATAAAAAAAGGAAATACATGAAAAAATGAATAGTTTTTTAAAAAATTAATTACAGTTTGGGTTGTGATAACGTGATTTTTCTTGCCTTTGTAAAACCTGGCAACCCCTTTAATGGCCATATTATTAGATTCTGTCGCTCCACTCGTGAATACGATTTCTTTAGGGTCCGCCTTGATTATCGAGGCAACATACTATTTATTATTTTTTTAAAAATAACTTCAAAAACCATGTTACTTGGTTGATATAATTTATAATAAAAATAAATAAATTCCAAGGATGAAATACTAAAAATTGGGTTATATTAAATTAGTAAGATTCATCAAATTTTGCAAAGTTGGAATCGAAACCCTCAGAACCTTAACAAATCTAGGTAAAACGTGTAACCCTTTTTTAAAATGTATAGGAACCAGAACCAACTCCCATTTAAATTTCCATGAATCCATTTTTTTGTGCCAGCTCCTAATTACGGATTATACAATATAATCTATATTATAATAATATATAAACAAAAGACCTGGCCCAATATCCAGCCTATAAAATGGTAACATATTAAAAATTCACCCAGGCTAGCTTTAAAATAATAAATTACAAAACCTGGACCCAGCTTAAAACAAATTTTTTCTTCGTAAAAACAGAGCCAGTCTTAATATACAAAATAATATTTAGATATATAAAATTAACTAGCTAAATAATATGATAGATCACATTTAGCATACATAATTTTGGCTAATATTTTCGATTCTTGGGGTCAGGCCATAAAATGATTTTAAATTTTAAAAATCTTAGCTGGTCTTAAGAATAAAAGAAAATCTAGGCAGGGCTACTAAAATTATTATTATTTAAAATTAATTCAAGTTTAAAAATACACTGGGCCTAAAAATCTGACTTTTGCAACCAAAGTTGAAGTATGTAGATCAGAGACCTTTATGGAACGGGCCGGCCCGCGGCCCATACCCAGCCCATGGGCCGAGTATGGGTCTAATATTATATTTTCTAGCGGGCCTGGGCCGGGCCTGGATTTAGAAAATTTTTTTAATGGGCTTGAGCTGGGCTTGGGCCTAAAATTATTAAATTTAAATTTCGATTATTAAAACAGTTGCTAATTAGAAAAAATGTTGCCTTATGTTGCCTTTTTTTTCTTCTAATAATAATAAATTTCAGTATTGTAAACAAAATGATTGCCTAAATATATTTAAATATTGTTTGTTTTCATTAAATAAAAAGAAATTAAATTTTTGGATATGGGCTTGGGCCGGGTTTGGGAAATTTTTTTGAAACTTATCATGGGCTTTGCCGGGTTTGGGAAATTTTTTTAACATTAGATATGGGCCGGGCCGGGCTTGGTTATAAAAAAATTTTTACTGCGGGCCTGGGCCGGGTTTGGTCAAAAAATTAGGGCCCATGAAGGTCTCTGATGTAGATACAAAAATTTGTACCTGTAGATTATCTAGCTAGGTTTTTGTTAAATTTTATTTTATGTTTTTTTAATTTAATCTAACAAATATCTGATCAAGTTTATTTCATTTTAATTCAACACAAGTTTAATTTTACACAATGCATGATAAAAATATGATAAAGGGTATTTATAATCTTTATATATTTAAAAAAATTTAGACAATTAATATTAGCGATACTGATGAAAGAAATAGAAGAAACAATCAACACATCATCAGCAAATTTTTCAAACTTAATTGGACTTGGCTTCAAATGCCAGAAAATTAAAATAAAAAAATTAACAAAACTAATTGATGAACTATTTTTTAGATAATTATAAGGAGAAAATTGCAAAAAAAATTGAAAGATTTTATATTTATTTTTTCCAACACCCATAAGATAATATGGATAAGGATATAAAGTTAACACCCATCAATTTGAATGATAATTTTAAAAATAAGTGTCATGATTAATATATTTAAATATTATTTATTCACAAAGTATAAAATTACTCTATATTTAGAGATCTGAAAAGCTCAGTCCCGTTTTAAAATAGAACAAGCTAGGGATTCGTATATAATTTTTAAACTGTGCCAAACAATTTATATATAAAAAAGCAGATAGACCCATGTAAATTTTTAATTTTTATTTAACTTTAAGGCAAACCCAGGTATTAAATTTTGATATATTTTTTGAATTTCAAGCTAATATTTTGATTAATACTTTTGAAAATAAATTACAATATACAAAAAAATAGATAGTATAGAGATATAAGAGCCTTAATTGACATTGGGAAAAAATTAAATATATAAATCATAGGGATTTTAAGAGGTTCAAATTAGACAAGAATTAGAGATATTTATTTAAGTGGTAAATAAATTGGTCATCACAATTTAACAGTATATATATACATATTTCAGTAAAAGTTAACTGTATATAAAAAATATTTGAATATAATTTCAAAAAGAAAATAAATTATATTAAATTATAGTAGATAATATTATTTAACAAAAAGAAAGTTATATAAATTTTTCTATTCATAAATATTAAAAATGTGATGGCCAGAAAATCTGTAAAAAAATTAATGGACAAAGGCCAATTTTCATGAAATTATGGGCCAGGCGAAGCTTAACTTTTTGTAAAATTTTAACTGGCCAGGCAAAAAAATTAAATGGACAAGGCAAGTGAACTATTGCAAACAACCAAAATGGGCTGAACCAGACTTTGCAGATCTCCACCTCCAGTGCATTAGTTGAAAGACATTTTAGTATGGTCAAAAATGTATAAATGGGGATGCCTTAGTGATAAAAACTATAAGATTATTTTATTAATAACAGCCAACAATAATAAATCTTAAACTGATTACCAAATATCTGGTTAAATTCCCAATTTAGGTTTTAACAATAGATTTTCAATTTTTCATTACATAATTATAATTAAAAAATGTATGTTTATCTATATATCAATATATTTTTTGAGATTCATTTAAAATTTGCAAGTTTCCAATATAAACATTGGATTATTATATCCTTAAATTTAGTTAGAAAAAAAATATATTTTATAAAACATTTTAAACTTTTAGAATTTGAAATTATTTTCATTAATTAAAATTGTTTAAATTAAATGTTTATGATATATTATATTACAAATAATTGTCAAACTATTATATATTTATATTATAAAATAGTGTGTATTATTTTTTAAAGACAAGTTTGGAACATTAACTATGTTTTGCTTATACAAAATATCATTATTTCATAAAAAAATTATTGTTTTCTAAAAAATATTTTTTAACATAAAATTTTTTTTTTAAATTGATACAAAATGTAATCTCTCATCTTAAACTTTAGCTAAATGCAAAATCAATTATATATATATATAATAATAATATCTATAGGAAATCAAGTAAATATAGTAAGATATATTCAAAATAAATGGGTAAAAATTGTAAATTATACTAATCTTCACAATTTATTATAAAAACAATTTAACATTTAACCTCTCTTGCTTTCTCTGATGCTTTTTCAGCCTCCCACCCATAAGCATGAGTTCTAGAATGTGGATTACCAAAATAATTAGTTAAGTATGGAAGCATAGCGTCAAGAACCCGTGGATCTAAGGAAGTTGTAGCTTGCGCATCTAAATATAAAGGCCGTAATTCGCCACATTCCTGAGCTTTTGAAACAGCTATCATTTTATTATGAAATATTATAATTAACAATAATCATTACTAATCGTCGAGAATTTTTTGAACTTTATTATATTGCAGATATTAAGAAAATTTAAGTTTTTCCTAAAAGTTTGGGCCATTTAAATAGGATAGATGGAAATAAGAATATAAATCGTCTTTGATAAAAAAGAATATGAATTGTAATATATATAATTATTAACTTTAACATTAATACTACTCAATAATTAAGAAAATTATACATTTATTAAATTCCTTATATGATTGAAAATACAAAATTAAGGAATATTTTTTATTTATATTTTTATTTCAAGCCATTAAAATGTGTATTCATCATTTTATATTTATTAATATGGTCTTCCTATCTGTTTTATTATTATAGTATTATATTTTTACGTTTAGTGTCCTAATATTTATCATATCTACTACACATTTTCCGGCTCGGTTATTTTTCATAATATTTTTTCTACGATTCAAAAAAAATTGAAATGTTTAATGTATATTATTTTTTACTTTTTTATATAGATAGTATATCTAGGTCAAAAAAGGCAAAGAAGGAACAAAAGGTCAAAAATTAATAATACAGGAAAATAAATCAACCTTAAACTTTTATTTAATCATAATTGCCATTGCTTCAGTAAAAAATTTGCATCATCATTTTCATTACATATATTTTATTGTAGCTAATTCATGTTGCATCTCAGTTACTATTTGGTCTCCACTCAAATAAAGTTTGGTTAATTTTCTTTTTTAAACTAATTTTAAACAGATTTTAAGTCTTATATCATTATTGTTAAATGGTGCATGCTATTGGTTGCTAAAAACTCAAGCAGGAGAAACTTTTGGAAATGTAGATTTGAATACAAATTCAGGATTATCGGAGTAAAATATTATTCTAATAACTAATATCAGACATAAAAATTATTAGAAGTTGGCCTAAACCAGCTAGTGGACATTTACTATCAGGTTTTCTTACCTGATCTGGTCCATACAAATATTTTGAACAATTCATCCATCCCTAAAATTGTTTTTCCCTGCCTGGACTATGCCAACCTCTAATCTCTATTTATCATACACCCTATACCTTTAAGTTTTTATATTAATTTACTATTATATTTTTAAATAAATATCCTGTTTTTATTTTCTGATGAAAATATTATTAGAAATGTCAAAGATGCTATAATATTGACATCAATTACTCAAATTTTAGCCCTAATATCAAGATGGTTTTGGCTCCTTTTATTATTAGTAAAATTTACATCTCTTTATAAAAAATGAATCTTTAAATTATATAAATTATTTTTAACTATGATAAATCAAATAAGCTATTTTTATGAGATGATAAGGATTCCAGAACCAGATCATGAAATAATATGATTTTAAAAACCAGGCAGAGCCTAAAAATGTATTTATAGTTGACATTTAACAAACCCTAATTGTGTTTGTTAAATGATTATCTAAAATTAATTAATCAAAAATTAGGTGACTAAGGAGCTCAGCAAATCATCTTTCAGCCTTACATAATATAAGCTTGGACTTAAGTTATATAATAATTTTATTAAATATAAAGTGCTGATTATGCAAAATTATTTTTAGATATTCTATTTATCTTTGTCAATATTTTCAGATATAGCCATTTTAGAATAGGGCCAGGCAGAAACATCTAAAATAATTTTTTTTTAAATTGGATAGGGGCCAGCCTAAATTCGAGTACCTCTGTAGCTGATTGATTGCATAACACACCACTTAGTATTGTTGAATGAATTGTAATTTTTCCAACTTTGACTCTAAGATCTGCGTCAGTTTTTTCGACACAGACTCAAAGTTTTAGTAGTTTTTTATTTTTTACTCGGACTCAAAGTGCATAAGATTACTTAAAGTTGGAATGGTTTTTCCCACCTGACCAAAATCAAGGTTGTTTTCAAACCAAGAGCTGAGGTCAACTCTAATAAATTTAATTTGATATTAATATTATAGTTGGTAGGGCTAATTAAAGTTTTGAAGATAACCCACTTGATAATCATCTTAGTTTGGGGGGGGGGGGGGGGATATCAAAAATATTATAACTTCAATAAAGTGTTAAATGAAAGCTAATTAAAATATATATTGACAGCTATGCTACTCAATACTCATCAATATTATTGGGTATGGAGTCTTAGAAGATCATAAATATTTTTAACTTTCCATAACATATAATGGGGTATTTAATAAAGGTTAATGAAATATTTGAGCAATATTAATCATCACTTTAAATGGCCAGATGTAGATCTCAGGGGGCCAGGAATGGCTGAATGGTCCTTACTTATGAGCATTGTAAATAATACTTGCATGAATTCTATTAATGATGAATATGCTCATACATGTCTTATAGAAGTAATGAACTTTTAATTGGCCAAATATAATAAAAACATTGTTTTGATGGATTTATTTTTTGATATTACTTTTAAATAGAAAAATTATTTGAATATTACAGTTTATCTTTAGAACTTAGTTTTTTATATTTGTTTAGGCTTCTTATATCAAAAAATTTGGTAAGTGAACAGTCTCTGGCTTTTGTTAACGTTATAACATAAAAAAATTCAAAGTCTAATGGTGCCATTGTTGTCCCTTTTCTAATATATGATAAAAATATAAGAATATTCAGTGAAAATTTTTTTTAACTTTTCAAAAAAGTATAAGACTAATAATCTTGTAATAAAATTATAACCTTCGATATTAGAGAATTGTATCTTAGCAAAATCAATGTTGCACTATAAAGTTTAACCAGTAATCGGTAGTTACTAATTAGAGAAAAATGGAAATTGGTTACTTTCTTTTATTTTGGGGCTCACTTTATTTTTTTAACGAAATAAATATAATGTTTTTTTACTTGATTTTCCTTCTTCTTTTTTTTTTCTTGAAAAATATCAAACACAAAACAAAACTTTTTTTTTTATTGAATTCTTCTATATTTATTATTAAAAATAATAATAATAATTAGTTACGCATAAAATATTATAATAAACAATTATTTTTCTATAATTTTAAAAATTAATTAATTAATAACTAAAATTGCGACAATGATAATATTACTATAACTAATTAAATTAACATCTAAAATTACAACAATAATAAAATTGTCAAAACTAATGACCTCATATCACACCTTCCCCTCAAAAGAAACAAGACTCCTCTCTCTCCTCATCCGCTAAAATATATTCTAGGAGGTAATCTAATTCCCAATCTACACTTGAGACTCTATTTTCTTCTTCTCTTCCTCCCTTCCATCCGTCTGGCTCTGCTCTTTTACACCTAGTCTTCTTAACTCTTCCCAAGCATCCGTTTCATCTGGATCCCGTTGTTCATCGCCCGTTATATCGCCCTGACCGTCGTTGCTTTCCCTGGTTCCCTCCGCTTCCCGAGACTTCGGTATTATTAAATTGCTTGTTACACGCGTATCCGACCCTTGTTCTCCTGGCCATGGCTCGGCCCACCCTTCCGTAGTTTCATCTGACCCTTCCATCCGCCAAATTTCCTGTACTCCCGTTGACTTCTGTATTATTACTTCAGCCTCCCTCTCTCGCCTTTAACATTCCTTGAACACATACTTCTGATATGTCCCTGTTCCACGCACCTATGACAACGTCTATGGTCCACTCGAACTCTGCGAAGGCTCCATGGCCCTTCCTCCCTCCATGGGCCAAATCCATGTAAATCTATGTGCCTTGGGGCTACGATAAAATGGATTTTGATGTCCTCAAAAGTCCAGCTCCGTCTCATGCTGGATAGTTTGTTGAGAAAGTCGAAATATGGCGGTGGAAATATTTAGATAGCGATTTCATATTATAATTGAAGTGTCGGGGCTTCAGTTATGGGTAGAATGGTTGGTGGCACGTCTCGTTGAGGTTAGGTATGCGTCATTTTAGATTAATAAAAGCAACTACAGCAATTATATTTTAAATTTTATTTTAAAAAAGAAATTAATTAATTATAAATTATAATTTAAAGCAAATTTGAAAACAAAAAAAAATAAAGTGTGTCTTTAATATAAAAATTTGTCCCTTATATAGGTAAAATAAAACGCGCAATTATAAAATAAAATTGGTACAAAGTGAAAAAAAGAACCTTTTTGCAAAACGGAGTTGTGTTAGTTTTATCTTACATAATTAGGGATAAAATCTACCCCCTATACTTTCCGGAACTCTAATTATACCACAGGATGCAGGGCGATTTCCCCAGGACCTAAATATCTAACTTATATTTGCCGAACACCCTTTTAAAGAATCCAAAAGTAAGTTAAAAAAACACAAAAACCATATGTTGGCATTAAAAGTATTTAAATCAAAACAAAAGAAAACTTTATTTAATTTTATGTATTTACGATAAGACAAAAGAAGGTCAAAAGAAAAACTTAATTTAATTTTTATGTATTTACGACAAGACAAAAGAAGGGCAAAAAAAACTTTATTTAATTTTTAGGTATTGAAGACAACCATAGGGGATAAGAGCAAACTATTTTTAATGGAAGTTTATAACAATAATAATAGCCGGAAGGGAGTAGAATTGTCCCCAGCTGAAAAATTTTTGGGCCGTTTAACTCGTATTCCATTGGATTTCTTAAGACAAGAGCCAACTCAAGGGGTGGATTCGAGGAATGGTCAATGCGAATATGTGGTTGATCAGACAGTTTGGGCTCGAGTTTTTGAAGGTACCCTGAAGTGGGAATCTGGAGTGATTATGGATAACATCGGTCACAAATTGGTCCGTGTAAGATTTTCCGACGGAAGAGAGGGAGTGAGACACCGGAATCAGCTCCGCATAGAGCCCGAAAAATTGAGGGGTTTTTCAAGGAATGTGAGGGTTCATAAATAAGGATAACTAGCATGAAACGGAGCTGGGTTTTTGAGGAAATCGAGATCCATTTCATCGTAGCCCCAAGGCACACAGTTACATAGATTTGGCCCACGCAAACGGTGACCATGGAGGGAGGAAGGGCCATGGAGCATTCGCAGAGTTCTAGTTGACCATTGACGTTGCTATAGGTGCGTGGAACAGGGACATATCAGATGTATGTGTTCAAGGAATGTTCAAAGGCAGGCTGAAGTAATAGTACCGGAGTCAACGGGAGTTATGGAAACTTGGCCGAGGGAAGGGTCAGATGAAACTGCGGAAGGGTGGACTGAGTCATGGCCAGGAGAACAACAAGAGTCGGATAGGCGTGTAACAAATTTAATAATACCGGAGTCTCGGGAAGCGGGGGGAACCAGGGAAAGCAACGACGGTCAGGGCTATATAACGGGCGACGAATAACGGGATCCAGATGAAGCGGATGTTTAGGAAGAGTTAAGAGGACTAGGTGAAAACGAGGCAAAGCCAGATGAATGGACGGGAGGAGGAGGAGAAGAGAATGGAGTCTCAAGTGTAAATTGGGAATTAGATTACCTCCTAGAATATATTTTGTCGGATGAGGAGAGAGAGGAGTCTGGTTTCTTTTGAGGGGAAGGTGTGATATGATTTCATTAGTTTTTTCAATTTTATTATTGTTGTAATTTTAGATGTTAATTTAATTAGTTATAGTAATTTTATCATTGTCGAAATTTTAGTTATTAATTTATTTATTTTTAAAATTATTGAAAAATAATTGTGTATTGTAATTTTTTTTATTTAACTAATTATTATTAATTTTTTTTATAATAAATATTGAAGAATTCAATTTAAAAAAAGAAGTTTTGTTTTGTGTTTGATATTTTTCAAGAAAAAAAAAGAAGAAGGAAAATCAAGTAAAAAAAACATTATATTTATTTCGTTAAAAAATAAAGTGAGCCCCAAAATAAAAGAAAGTAACCGATTTCCATTTTTCTCTAGTTAGTAACTACCGATTCCTGATTAAACTTTTGCTCCTTTTCATTATTTGCATTTACTATCAGGGGTGTACTGGTGATACTGTGACCTCATGGGTGTTGCGTCTTTGTGGGCAAATTTTTTAACGGCTTTATTTCTGGGCAAATACCTTCTAATGGCTTATTCCATTTAAATGGCTCTTATTATTAATTATATTTTTGAACAACGATGGATTAAACATTATTCATATATAATAAGAAAAAGACTAGTACGACACGTTTTTATTTTAAATTCTCCTAGTACATATAAAATGATATATATTATTACACATAAAATCATTTTAAGTAGAGACTGGGGTTAGGTAAACCCCGGGGCTTGACAAACCACTTTATTTCATTTTAAAATTAAATACACCAGAAGGTTAAAAT